GACTGAGTGGCGCCGGCCTTGCGCGCATGCGCAAGGCGGGAAAAGACCGCCTTGTGATTGGTTGGATTTGCCCGGGGATCAGAAGGTATAAATAGAGGCCTGCGTGCCTCTGCTCGGGTTGTTCGTAGATTGGAAGCAGAGAATAAAGACTTGTTAGAAATGCTTCGTCTCAAGCGCCATTATTCTCCGGACTTAACAGAAGGGACCTTGGAGGTCATCTAGTCCAACCCCTGCTCAGGCAGCAAACCCTATACCATTTCAGACAAATGGCTGTCCAGTCTCTTCTTAAAGACTTCCAGTGTTGGAGCATTCACCGCTTCTGGAGGCAGGTTGTTCCACTGGTTAATTGTTCTAACTCTCAGGAAATTTCTCCTTAGTTCTAGGTTGCTTCTCTCTTTGGTTAGTTTCCATCCATTGCTTCTTGTCCTGCCTTCAGGCGCTTTAGAGAATAGCTTGTCTAGAATAGAATAGAATAGAATAGAATAGAATAGAATAGAATAGAATAGAATAGAATAGAATAGAATAGAATAGAATAGAATGGAGCGGAGCGGAGCAGAGCAGAGCAGAGTAGAGTAGAGTAGAGTAGAACAGAATAACACAGTTGGAAGGGACCTTAGAGGTCTTCTAGTCCAACCCTCTGGTCAACCCCTTCTTCTCTATATCAGCCCCTCAAATAGTGGAAGACTGCTATCATGTCATATTTGGCCTTTCATTTTCTCTCTCTGTCAAATGGGAATATTAGAAGGGATAATTATATGTAGGGCAGCATAAAGGTTTTCCTATTCAGGCAGATCCAAGACATTGTGGAGTGGCATATTTTTTTTTACCAAACTCACAACACCTGCTTCCCAGTGAGCGATCCTGTGGGTATTAGTCATGCCTCTGTCACTTTACTGCAATGAGTATATATCCAAAAACAGCATAAAATGGATTATAAGAAAGCTACAATTACCATATAGGCAGACTTCCAATTTAACACGATACAAATTGTAAACTACCTCTAGAAAAAAACAAATCAAAGGAGGTGATACCATCTAATACTAGGGTTGAGTTAACACAGTATTGCTTAATCTCTATATCTGGGTTAACAAAACAAAATAGCTCTCTATTCAGACAGCCTTCAAGCAACCAATCCTGTTTAGCCTAGAATTTTTGTTGTGCAAACTAACATATCTGGATAAAAATAAATGTTTTATGTCCCAATCCAGTAGCATGAATGGCTGAGTTACCAAAACAACCATTTTTTCTTCAAATATTTGAACCAAAGCTTCCTAAATTGCTAACAGACAATATCATATTTTGGAAACAAATTGCACTGTTGGAAATTGCAGAATTGCAGAAGATTTATCTACAGTATGTGGACTCTAGCTGCTAACTTGATGGCATATAATTAAAAAAATCTCCAGCATCTGGCAATCAGCAATCACCTATCTGCACATTGAATCTTGCGATGCAGTATTAAATATGACAAATTTACCCTTGAGGCAGTAAACACCAAGGGAACATCTGGGCTCAACCAATGACTATAACAACAGTACTGAACATGAAGTGCTATCCTACTGTTTGTGCAGTGTGCCTGTGTAGAGAAAGGCAAAAAAGGGTGTGATTTAGAGTTTATAGTTCATCAGAGAATCAATCAAATCAACAAACAGAAAACAATACCCTAATTAAGGAACTACCAAGAAGAAAACCACACCCCTTCTACACTAGCAGGACAAGCTACTGCATATAAACAGGGAGCAAATCTCATATTCTCTCATGCAAATGATTTTTATCTAGCTGGGTAATGAAACATTTGCAAGCAAACAACCAGGTTCAGAAAGCATCAAGGACTCCAGAGTTTGTAGTTCAGCCCAAAATAAATATGTGAATTTCCAACACAGGGTACCAATGGCTTACTGGTCCTGCATACACATGTTTAACCTGATCAGCCATTAATGGGATCAAGTATGTACCTGGGGATCTAGAAATATATGATCAAACTAATTGCATGAGACGTTCCCTTTTGGAGAGTGCAAACTTTCTTTCCATTTTCTCCAGGAAGTATTTGAGAGTTGGAGTAAAGTACGGTAGAAGCCCGGTACACTTGAATGTGGATAGGTTAGAATGTGTAAGTACTGGGCATTTTAGTTATAGTTTTTATGTTTTCGTTCTTTTTCTAGGAGCCATCCAGGGTTATAGTATATAAGTCCAATCAATCAATCAATCAATCTCTTTTGAGGACTGGAAAAATACCCCATTGATAAAAATCAGGTGTTTGCATGATACACCTGACTGAGTGCATTTTAACTTGTATACAGTACATGGCAATTTTTAGTAAATGCTGTTCCTCCCCCTCTTAAATTCAGAGTGTTTGTAGGGTCCACTGACCCTACACATAATCCACTTAATCATGGTGTACTTCTAATGCAAGTCTTGTGATTATAACTCATCTACATCCTCCAAATAAATAAAATTTAAGATAACCAAAGAAATTCTGAGTAACCACTACTGTACATTTCATATTCATCCTCTTTTATTTCCCTTTAATCCTTTCAGAAAATAACAAACAAAGGAGAGGTAGCTATAGGATTAATGATGAAGAGGGACCCCCACTCAGAAATGGCCCCCCAATTAGTGTTTTTAGCCAAATCATAAAGATTTTTATTTATTGAACTCTCTCAGATAGTTTTTCTTGAAATGTCTCAGCTAGTTTAGTTATTGAACCATCTCAGATCATTATTTATTGAACTAAGGTTAACAAAGATTATCAAGTAACTAAATGACATAATTCCATTACACATAGAAAAACAGGTATAAAATCTGCTAACAAGTAGATTATAAGATGATTAATGTTCCACCTACATATATAAAATGTGCATCTATCCTTTCAGGGGCTCAAGATGACCAACAGCAAACCAACAAATAAACTTTATGTAACAATATAATAAAAAATTAGAATAGCAAAAAATATCAAAAATACTACGTTAAAAACACTGTTTTTTAAAATAAGGCTTCAGGGAGGAAGAATATCCTATAGAAACCTATAGAAATATTATGTATTCTGGGTTATATGTCTTTTGCAATTGTGACTCAAACTACCTGCTGCTTTATCACATCAAATTATTTTGATATTGACATACCAATTTAGGGCTTCTCTGCATCATAAAATGGCTCCAGATACAAAATTTTCAGGGATGGCTAACATCACAAACAACATCTATAGCAAAATCATTCTATGTGGAGTCCCCTTTAATATTTTCAACCTGCCAGCTGGCCATAGCCTTTTCAAAGATGTAATATTCCCTGCTTCTGATTAACTGAATTTTCTGAATCTTAAAGCAATGCCGGGAACGAATCTCAATTTTCCTGCTGCAGACTAACAGGACTAATCTAAAGGAATCTAGAGAACCTGGGGACTATGAGTTGAAGACGAAAGGTTTATATCTTGAAAAAGAAATGAATTAGCCTGGACAAGAAATAAAATTTAGCAAGGATGTGCATAAACAAGTAAATACCTGCCCAAAGGGATTGCGAAATAAAAGACAGACAGCATAAGTGTCCGAGTGTTTTTGGTGAAGAGATCTCCAATAATAGTAGGAGCGATGGTGGAATAACTTGCTTCGCCGATGCCAACCAAACCTCGGGAGAGGACAAACAGCCAAAAATACTGCAGGGGAAAGTCAGAAAAAAAAAAGAATCAGTATTTTCATTGTTAATATAATTTTCACAGCCATAAAAAACTCTGTGCGATCTTTGTACCTTGGTTTCACACACACAACCCTCCATAATGATCTAGGAGATGTTCGATGGAGGAATTGATTAGCATGGAAACTATGATGCATCTCTAGGGACTAGCATTCTCAGTGCGCTGGTTTCATGCATCATTGTGCTTAGAGGCATTTAATGGCACCCACCAGATCCCTGGCTTATCTCTATAATTTCAAGCAAGGAAGAGGGACTTTGCAAGATGACAGGATGGTTGAGAGATCTTTTGAAGTTTGGGGCCATCATGTAGAACAGTGTTTCTCAACCTTGCCCGCTTGAAGAGGTGTGGACTTCAACTCACAGAATTCTCCAGCCAGCATTCGCTATACAATATGCCCTGCCTGGTATCAGTTTGATATGATGTGTGAACCAGATTTACATGGCTTGCAAAATCCTGTTTTATGGCTTAGCTTTTGTCTGAACCTGTCTACTATGGCTTGTCCAAGAAACCACAATTAAAAGAAACCTGGAGTTAACTTAATGTGTGAGCCCAGCTCAGAGACCCTATTTTCTGCTTTTTGAGCACACAAGTCAAGATTGCTTCTTCCTCCCCCCCCCCCTTAAAAGCTACCAAGATTATACCACTTTTCTCAAAGCAGATAAAATTTGCTGTCCAGCACCTTGGTTAAGCACCATGGATACAAAGTCTTCACCTTTTCTTCTCCAGGAATCAGCAGCCCCACCTTGATACCCCTTTTTGAAAGCAGCAATGTTACCACATGCCCTGTAATTATAGGTCTAATTAAATGTCTCCAGCTGTCCTTGTCATACAGTAGACAGATGTGCGTAGGCTGAACCCTAAAAGCAGAAAGCAAACTTGTGACTCAGGGCCATTTAATGACTGTTCATTACCCAATGCTAAACCACTCTAGATTATCATGCAGATTTGCTGATGCCTAGGGAAGCCAAGACTCATTTTAAAATAAATGATTTTCAAGAAAAATGTGCAACGTGAGTTAATCAGGCAACAGGAATAAAGAAGGGGGTGAATTTTTAATTTTGGACATCATGTCTCCACAAATGAAGAAGTTTGTGTATGTGCATAGAGATACATATAAGGAACGGCTGCTGGAATTGGGTATGTCTAGTTTAATGAAGAGAAGGATGAGGGGTGACATGATAGCAGGGTTCCAGTATCTCAGGGGCTGCCACAAAGAAGAGGGAATCAAGCTATTCTCCAAAGCGCCTGAAGGCAGGACAAGAAGCAACGGATGGAAACTAATCAAAGAGAGAAGCAACCTAGAACTAAGGAGAAACTTCCTGACAGTTAGAACAATTAACCAGTGGAACAACCTGCCTCCAGAAGCGGTGAATGCTCCAACACTGGAAGTTTTTAAGAAGAGACTGGACAGCCATTTGTCCGAAATGGTATATAGGGTTTCCTGCCTGAGCAGGGGGTTGGACTAGATGACCTTCAAGGTCCCTTCCAACTTTACTATTATTATTATTATTATTATTATTATTATTATTATTATTATTATTATTATTATTATTATTATTATTATTATTATTATTATTATTATTATTATATACCTAAAGATACTTTTTCAGAAGAGAGAGATGTTAACGAAATTAAAATGGAAAGGACAATCAACGTAAGGATTTTTACTTCCCTTTAAATAGTATAATTCAGAATCCCCCACTGAAGCTGAATGGCAGGAGATTCAGAATTATGTACAAGTAATCTACAGCACTCATTGCTACAAGATGCATCAATAGCCATGAGTTTAGGCAGCTTTAAAGGTGATTAAACAAATTGATGGAAGATACACACACACACAAACAAACACACACAGAGCAAATGCATAAAGGATAGGATGTAAAAACATAGAAATGTAGACTTGGAAGAGACCCCTAGGATTATCTGATTCAACCTTCTCTAATGTGAAGGAAAACATATTGAGCTATCCATGATAACAAAACCTTAACCTCAGTAGGCAGACTGTTCCATTGTTGTACAAATGTCACCATCCAAAAGGTCTTCTTTACAGTAGGGTTAATATATCTAATAGATTGTTACATTAAGTTCTCCAAAGTTAATGACAATATAGCTCAGAATTCCATCTCCTAGGCATTAACCATGGAGACCTAAGAAGGCACTAAGATGAAATGAGGTAACCGTTTTTTAATTACAAGAAAAAATATACTTGTTTTTAATGACAATGAACTTTTATTTTAACCAATCAGTGGGTGGGTGGGGGGAGCATGATATTCTCTAAACTCTAAACTCCAGCAAATTGAAGAATATGACATTGCTGTGATACCAATATTGCAAACTATATCATTTACTGTATGTAGGCATAGGTATTCTTGGACAGGATTCTTAATAACAGAATAACAGAATTAATTAATGACTTATCATGGTAGTCTGTTTCAAGACTACCTCCAAAAACTTCAGAAGCAAACCTTGCACATTGATTCAGCTTTTTCTAAATACTGCTATCCAGCTGCTTACTTGGATGGAGAGGGGGGGAAATACTCATTGCTGAGATCTCATTGTAAGGAAAGTAACTCCTGCTTCTGCTAACTCAACAAAGTGGTTGAGGATAATGAAAGCCATGGATCAAATCAATTTGCTGACATACAAGATGCTCAGCACAGTTGATGTTACCTAGTTTGATAATGAAATGTAAGTAAACAATCAAGTTCAGAGAGCACCAAGGACCCTAGGATGCTCCCTTTAACTGAATCCATTAGTTATCCATGCCCTGCTCCACAACATGCCAATCCATCCTTCTCCCTCCTGAGTGTTTGTCTCACTTTCTACAATCTTATTCCAATAAAGAAAGATTTAGAATATGCTGAGATTGCCCAATTAAACAAACCCCTGTCTTATGTTTTCAACATTAAGAGCATGGGAGGTTACATTCTTTGGAAAATAAGATAATGACTATGGTTGCGCTTATGGGTGCTTTTCCAGCCCTTTCATTTTCTAAGCTCTTTTCAAACTATTTTTAAAAAACCCCCAAAATGTAATCTAAACTTAAGTATGTACTGAATAATTTTATGTATGCTGTGTAGTAACTGTTCTTAGCACAGACCAGGGGATGTTTTTTAGCAGAAACCTACAGAATAAGTGGTAAGGAGATAGGAACAAGTAGCTCTCGATATTTCTCTAATTTAGGGAAAGGCTCAAGAGCTTGACCTGAATTCATTCTGGCACTCTGACAACCACATACTGAAAGCCAATTGGTGACCTATGGCTTTGACATCACCATACTGAGGGCAACATCTTCAATTATTTCAATCACAAAGCCAGCAAAATCAATTATCACTCCTTCTTTTAAACTGATTGGACCAAAGCAGCTACCAAAAGAGAGGGTCTGTGCCTAGGAATGAAAATGGAATACAGCAATGCAAACACCCCCCCCCAATATTCCAAAATAAAACCAGAAGTTTTGGAAGGCATGATGGAAGCCATCTCAAGCACATGAGAACTCTCTCTTTCAGTGGGATAATCTGGCTAATATTCTTCTCCCACTTTGCATCTCATTCAGTTAAATGCTTTACCACCTAAATAGATAGGCATTATTGGATTTATACTAAAGACACACAGTTCTGACGGTTCGTACAGTGGTGTGATATAACTCAAGCAAGCAAGTAATCCATACTTTAATAATGTCTTAACAAGTTCTTGTCTTGCCCCTTCTGCTCCGCTCCCGAAGTAGTTCACAAGATGAGAATTGTGTTCTTGTTTCTCAAAAGATTTGCGGCTACTGACAAAATGATAATCTGGTGAAGTATGTCTAAAACCCAAAGGCAATAGCCTTATTGTCTCAAAAAGGCACATGATCCTTAAATCCCGGGTCATGAAGCATTAGAAAGACCCATATGATGTGACTGAGGCTTCAAAAGTGTGTGTGGAATATACGAGTGTGTAAAATGTCTGGATTTCGTGCATTTGATCCCACATTTTTTTTAAAAAAAAAATAATTATAGTGTTTCTTTTGATGCTTTTCACCTTTTGGAGCAAAGCATTCCAAGAAGTGATACCAAAAGAACACAAATGGAACAGAGGATATTGGTATGCATGAAGAAAACCAGATTCTCAAAATCTTTTGTTAAGAAGATGACAAGGAACAGAACTGGAAAAGATTATCCTTTTCATTAGAATTGCTAACCCGTAAAAATGGCCCTGTTTGATCTTAAGTTGATGCATTCAGAACTGCAATGCCATCATGATTTAGTCAGATCTTTTTCTGCAAAGCTGTGGACTATTTTAAAAAAATAACTGAAAAGTTCAAATGTGCACAGTGTACAGTGATAAAAATGGTAAGAAGTCTGGATGCCATATCCCAGAAGGAAAAAAATGGAACGATGTGGGAATATTTAGCCTGAAGATGAGACAGTTAAGAAGAAATAGGACAGTCATTCTCAAACATCAGAAAAGTGATCTTACAAATGAAGAAGCAAATTTGGAATCTGTTCCTTCAGGAATTAGGTCCCCAATTAACAAATTCAAATTACAAAATAAGGACTTAAGATGACTGATGCTGTTCATTACTGAGATGATTGTCTTAGAACATAAAAGATTCTAATCGCAGTAAAGAATGGATAGCCCTTTTCAAAAATGCAGTAGTACTTAATTTCCAATGTTAACAGGGTTTGAGGTGGCTATTTTTATCCTCCCTCCATTATGATTTGTATTTTTGCTTTTGTGATATTTATGAATAAAGTTTTTTTATCTTGTACATTTTGTTTTTATTTATTGTTCTTATTGATTTTTGTTTGCCACCCAGAACTTCCTTTGGGTTTTGATTAATAGAGACAGACACTTAGGTAGATAGATAGGTAGGTAGATAGGTAGGTAGGTAGGCAGGAAGGCAGGCAGATAAACCAGGTAATCCCATCAATACCATGATTCTATAGAGGATTCACAAAACATGTTAACCTATTTTTTTTACCATAATTTGTTGAACAAATCATAATGACACTAAGATATAAACAATGGCTTGATCAAGCTAAGAAAAAAGAAAAAGGAATATTATGTGTTATGTGTGCCTCCAACTTATTACAACCAGAGTTGAGTTTAAGGCACAGCATCCTCTTCAGAGAATTTTAAAAAAAATAGAGAAGAACTTGTTGCAGTTGGCAATCCAGTGGTTTGACTCAGCTTCAAATGTTCATGTAAGGCTTTAGCTCAGTGGTAGAACTCTACATTTAGTACCAAGGGATGCTTCAGTTTCATTCCTTGAGATCTCCGATCAAAGGATTTAGTCCACTAGGATTGGTGAAAACCCCCAACTGGGACAACAGAAGTGATGTATTAGCAATAAGAGGCCATTTCAGTGGTGGGATCCAGCCGGTTCGCACCACTTCGGCAGAACCGGTAGCTAATTTTTTGTTGCCCAGGCCCAGAATGGACTTCCGGAAGTGGCATCCACACAGAGAACTGGCTGTTCACATATTTGAATCCCAACACTGGGCCATTTCATAACCAATATGTTGGTGATTGTTCCATATATCCATTGCGTATTTCCATTGCTTCCTTCAGCATAAATAATACTTTGCAAAACAGGTTTATATGGGAGCAAATCAAAACAAAACCAAAAGGGGTGATCTACTCTGAGAAGCTGCTGGATCTTCATCCTTTGGTCCCACACACTGAATTGTAGATGCCAACTTCTCAGCAATGTCTCTGAACTGATTCACTCACTGGGACTGCCCAGTGAATCGAGTTGAGTTTCGCTTCAGCAGCAAGGTCTTCTCAGCTTTGGGGTCTTTTTGTATATTGGACCCTGACTTTTAACCAGTGGTGGGATTCAGCCAGTTCACACCACTTTGGCAGAACCGGTAGCTAATTTTTTGTTGCCCAGGCCCAGAATGGACTTCCGGAAGTGGCATCCACACAGAGAACTGGCTGTTCACATATTTGAATTCCAACACTGGGCCATTGCATAATCAATATGTTGGTGATTGTTCCATATATCCATTGCGTATTTCCATCGCTTCCTTCAGCATAAACAATACTTTGCAAAACAAGTTTATATGGGAGCAAATCAAAATCAAACCAAAAGGGGTGATCCACTCTGAGAAGCTGCTGGATCTTCATCCTTTGGTCCCACACACTGAATTGTAGATGCCAACATCTCAGCAATGTCTCTGAACTGATTCACTCACTGGGACTGCCCAGTGAATCGAGTTGAGTTTTGCTTCAGCAGCAAGGTCTTCTCAGCTTTGGGGTCTTTTTGTATATTGGACCCTGACTTTTAACCAGTGGTGGGATTCATCCAGTTCGCACCACTTTGGCAGAACCGGTAGCTAATTTTTTGTTGCCCAGGCCCAGAATGGACTTCCGGAAGTGGCATCCACACAGAGAACCGATTGTTCACATATCTGAATCCCACCACTGCTTTTAACCTTCCCCTCCATCTTACCTCCTGTTTTGTTCTATCACTGTTTTCATTTCGCCCCTTGATTTTTAATGCCCACTGTAGAGCCATGACACTGATGTGGTGCAATTTAATAGAATAACAGAGTTGGAAGGGACCTTGGAAGTCTTCTTGTCCAGCCCCCTGCTCACGCAGGAGACCGAATACCATTTCAGAGTAATGGCTGTTCAATCTCTTCTTAAAAACCTCCAGTGATGAAGCACCCACAACTTCTGGAGGCAAGCCGTTCCACTGATTGATTGTTCTATTACAAAATTTCTCCTTATTTCTAGGCTGGTTCTCTCCTTGATTAGTTTCCATCCATTGCTTCTTTTTCTGCCTTCAAGTACTTCGGAGAATAACTTGATTAAATAGGTTTAATATCATATCAAAGTCACTAAAATGAAATGGCATTCAAAATTCTACAAATGAAATAATGAAGGATATCAAAATGCTTGTATATCACAAGCGAGATGTGTTTTTTTTTAAAGAAACTGCTAATGAACTTTGTAGATAATAGCAGTCGCAGCTGTTGCTACAGCTACTCCTCTTCCACTGAAATTTCAGGAACCAGCACTAAAGGCTGGACAGGGGTCATGAGCAATGAATGAACTGGTAAGATATCTGACTGAGTTTCAGCTTGTTTCTTCCCCCCATCTCAGATCTGTGCCCTCCCCTCATATGCAGGCGAAGGAAGAATAGTATTTGACAACTTGCCTGTTTAGACAGAGCCCTCCGCTTTCAGAGACGGCTTTGCAGATGCTGTATGATGGGCAGTCAAAATGATTTTCAAAGAAAGAAAGAAGCACAGATTCTGGAATCAGACAGGCCATCAAATCTACATTGGTATTTTAAAGCAGTTCCAGACTCTATGAAAAAATTAGTCTTTGTTTGTCCACATGTGGTCATGACATCAAAATGTGTGATTATTAACCTTCCAAATGACAAAGCGTTTATTTTAGCCAGCCACAATTGGTCAACTCTCTGATAAAATCAATAATATATAATAACACATTTCTGGGGCACTTGGTGCTCTCTGAGTTTGATGTTTTCTTACAGATATTTTAATACCAAACTAGATAGCATCTTCCAGTGGTAGAAGAGAGTGTTTATATTCTAGTGGTTTGGCCTGTCAGTGTTGGTGGGAGAGTTGTTGATGGTTCATTAATTAGGCTGCTGTTTACTGTTAGCTTATTTATCTGAGTTGGTATTTCCTTGATTGGGATATTTCCTGATTGCTGGTCTAGTGTTAATCTTGGTGTTAATCTCTTCTGATCTGGACTTGATTGCTGGTGAGGAGATGTTTTGGTCTTTTTACTTAGCAGGCTTTTTGATTTTTGAATGGTGTGTAGATGTTATTTATCTCTATGTGCCTGTTGATGGCCAATTTGTCTGAGTACCAGCTTCCAGGAATTCTCTAGCACAGTGGTTCTCAACCTTTTTAATGCCACGACCCCAACCGGTCGTACGTCGAGGACTAAACCAGTCGTAAGTCGAGGACTAAACCGGTCGTAAGTCAAGGACTAAACCGGTCATAAGTCGAGGACTACCCAACTGGTCGTAAGTCGAGGACTTTCCCTGCCTGGGAGCGCCGCGCATGCGTGGTTCCGCTCCCTGCGCCGGCCGAGGCATAGCTGGCAAGCGGCAGAGACGGAGCAGGCCGACCACCAGCTGGCCCAGCCCAAGGGAAGTAAGGCACCTGCCAGAAAAGGGGGAAAAAATGGCGGACAAAAAAAATGGTGGACAGCCTTGCTTGGCGACCCCCGTGAAATGGTCGATCGACCCCAAATGGGGTCCCGACCCACAGGTTGAGAACCACTGCTCTAGCACTTCTATAATATCTCTTCATATAATTAAAGTGAAATCCTCTATTTCTAGGAGATGAAGGCAGAAAATCTAGAATATGCTGCTTTGCAGCATATTCTAGATTTTCTGCCTTCATCTCCTAGAAATAGAGGATTTCACTTTAATTGCAGTGGCAGTGGCACTGCAGTGGCAATATTGGTACTTTGGAAAAGTCCCTTAAAGGACATCAGATTAGCTTCCTCCCCAATGAATTGATGTTAAAAACTAAGCTCTTTTCTGAAGATGGATATAAAAAACTAAGTTATTTTGGAAAGTGTTCCACTTAAATTCATGATTATTCCATCTTCTATTTTTTCATTCTGGGGAGAGGGGGATTGGTTTTTAAAATCTTTTTATGATGGTTGCAGTTGATTTACTGGGTTATGATTTCATGATGCAGATTTAATTTTAAGCTGAATAATATTGCGGATGCTTTAATTTGTTTTCAATATTTTGGAGGTCACCAAAATTCTTTCAATTGCAGTAGGATATAAATGTGACAAATAGGTAACTGCTTGATTTAAAAAAAGGCCCTGTGATAAATAAGGAAGAAGATGTTTAAATCTCACACTTTGTGTTTTTAACACGAACCTGCAGGTGACAAGTGTTGCCTTAGAAGATGTTTTCATGTGAAAGAGAAAGGAAAATCTCTTCAGGAATATTTTAGGCATTATATATTCAGGAATGTGCCCATTGAAAGTTCATTCAGATTTAGAATCAATTAAGAATCCTATGATTAATTGACTTAGAACTGCCTAAGTCAGGTGTCCATTAAACTTACTGGAGGCTGCTACATTTAGCTTTTTGGCAGCATGTTAGAACCAGTGCCAGGTGATTACGATTCTCTCTTTGAAACTGTGTGCATTTCTGCTACATAATGAATTTTGCTTTTTTTTCTAGCTATGTTATAACAAACTGTTGTTTCACCTTTCAAAAACCGGATGTCTATTTATTCTATTGATTTACAAGCCACCTTGAAAA